TGGTGTATGGTGGTATGTGTCCTATGTTATGTGTATTTGATGTTTCTAATGTTTTCAATGAACCTGGTGAAGCCAAAAACATATTTCCAGAAATGGATAATAAAGACTTATCTTATCTTATGGAATAGCAATTCTAATCCAATACACATCTTTTAGTCAAAAATGCTAACCCACAACTTAGCTAACGTTAGTTACATTAGCTACATGATGTGTCATTGTTCGCTCTACATCATGGGATAGTGATGCAGTTGGATTTCTCTAGAACATAGACAGGAAAAGAAGGCATCAAAGGTTCTTGGCCAGACTCCAGCCCGAGACGTTGCCATTACATGCTCAGAATCTTAAACACAACAAGTGTGATAAATGTGAGAGAAAAGTAAATGCTTCAGATGTAGGACCATCATCAACACATCACTGACTGAAACACTTACTTTTCTTGGCATTTTTCCTTGTGTTATATGCTTGTTTGCCTTGGCTATACACACCTGACAGTACGCGCCAAGAAGCCTGGATTCAACAGCACAAACCCTTTCATAATGCTTATCATGGGGCTAACACACAGATAAACACATAAAATTTTAACAAGTAGTTTAGTCTCTAATCCATGCAACCTGCATGTCTTGTGGGACAAACCTGGAGGAAACAGAAACTGGGTGGAAATGCAAAAACCTGTCATGACTCTTGCTGAAATGATGTGTTCATAAACCCGAGTGACCAGTTTGAGGTGGTAATGACTTCTAAACTCCTTCATGTAGATTTCACATTAAACGGAAATTGATTAGTTAAAATCACAATACAATGAGAAGAATTTTTAGCTCACCTTACATATAATAAGAAACACATGTGTATTTGTTGATAAATGCCTCCACATTTCTTTGTGTTTTTGTTCATTTAAAATCATTACTTTCTACTTCCTGGGAAACAATAGACCATTTCTGGTGAGAATTAAAAACTCCCCGCAATAAAACCATCAGTTACTCTCCATCTCTCCCACAACATGTAACTACCTCAATTTTCCCACTGACATCTCTTTGATGCATAATTGTGAACAAATGTCTGGTTTATATCCTGCCTGAACATAATGTTTCAACAGAAATACATCAAATTATGAATGTCAGATAGTCTCAACAGTGCTGTGTCCTTGGGACTTTATTAGATATTGGAGTTTTGTCGTAACACTATTGTGTTGTAAAAGTGTCTGTTCTAAGGGCTTTTGTTATGACATGAAGTAAATGTTTTACCCATGAAGATTTACACCGGAACAGAACAAATTAATACCTTGAAACAATAACACTAGACAGCACAATCAGGTGCTTAAGCCCCAGGTTTAAATCATCAGTATCATACTGAATGACAAGTCAGTCACCTTCTACTGCAAATCATTTCCTTCAGTCAACAGAAAATCTTTTTGACCCTCACACCCTCCCATTCATAAATATTTGATGCTTAACACATTGCAATGTCTGATGACCTGTTTCTGATTAATGAAATAAGGAGCTGAAGTGGGTGTAATGTTGCATTATGGGGTGGGAATTAAGCAGAGCCACAGGCACTGTGTCTGAAAATTTGACTATTTAACACTTTTAAATCAAAACAGCTTGTACTTGTTATATATATTCCTCAACTGTGAATTTCGGCTTTTTTGGTTGACTGCAGTGTTTTTCAGTTAGTATGCTTGATGGGACGATGCCATGCTCAAAGATGGACATGTAAGATGACTATCCAGGTCTTCTTTAATCTCTACTGGAACTCACTGATGTAATTTAGGGTGGACTAAGGTGGAAGTAAGGAATAGGAGAGAATATCATTTAACCATACCAACCATACACATTCCTTTGTGAAGCGAAGGAAGAAAATGTGATACCCATCTCTGTTTCATGACCAAATGCAACTATTTACTGAGGCTCAACACACAATCCGAAGCCAGAAATAAATAAAGAGGTGGTTCATACAATACTAAATTACCAATACCATATGTTCTAATACAACTTTTCCCATGCATATGTTGCTTGTTTTCATTATCAGAAGACATGAAATCTTCCAAAAAAACAGGGTGAAATATTCCCATACCCTCTAAACAAACAATACATTTCAGTAACAGGTGATTTGAGTGATTGAGTGAAGGCCTCATATATACAACTCATGTTACACTGAACTCGTAAGCTTCCAGCTAAAAGACTGACCAAATGGTGACCGCATGTGCTTCATTGCCTCTTATCTATGAAACAATAAAACATGTGAGTAGTCAAGAGGAAACTATTAGCTGTTTGGTCAGGGAGGCCCTCAGTACAGTGCGATAGTCTAGGAGTTAACAGTGAGCAAACAGCTTTGATTAAGTGCATGTATGTATACAGACGGTATATAGCCTGGAGACCCTTTACTATTTTCACAAATCCCGATAACTCACAGAAAGGTCTCTACTTCTACACTTCAAGTGTGAAAGCAAAAGGGTTTTGTTGTATCCTCTGAAGGACCACTTAGGGTGTCACTCTGAGTGTTTAGCAGGTGCAAAGATATTTGCCTGATATCGGGGAAAGCCTAATGGGTTTGTCCTTTGAACTCATTTCACATGTAGAGGAACCTACCCAGCAAATAGCTATGCTGTAGCTCAGGGTGGCTCAAGGCTATCAAAAAAGATTTATGCAGGAGTTGGACAAAATAGTTCAATTGTTACCAGAATGTTTCTCTGAAAAGTGCTTTATCTGAGACTTAGATTGGTTTATGGTTTGTAGGGTTTGTCATCTTTTTATTGGTCATTGCAGTGTGATGTTAAACGTCCTTGACAACTGATAGTGTGTTGTTATGTTACACATATTGAGGCAGTGACAAAGAATTTGAACTTGAGAAACTAAATTAATAAAACAACGTGTGATTGTGAATAACACAAGACGTCACCCTTTAGAGCAGCAGCTAAGACTGCTTAGGGTTATTTTTTGCTGTCCGTGTAATTTTTCAAGTATTTAATTTCAAAATGAAAAATTATTAAATCACTACAGCCATAACAAAACAAAGTATGCTTTCCCAAAAGCCGAGAGCTTTCCCCTTTTGTTTCCCCCTTACTATAATGTAGAAAATATCACCTTATTCCACCCTGTGTGACTATATCATATATATTACACTGAGTAAAATATTTAAGGCCAAGATTCATCAGAAAATTCATCCTGACATGTTTGGTATCTATGAAAAGTTTGGGATGTCCACTAGAAATTCTGTGGGTTTGAAATCACACACATCATCAGTTTGTAGTGACCCGTCCAGTGACTGTAGCTGGCCGCTACTTGTAAAGGGGTTACAGTGAAACTAGATTTTGACACAGGGGTCAAGGACAAAGGATTGTGATTGAGTAAAAACTCAGGAGCCACCTTAAGGCCTTTGTCATTTTACTATGTATTTGGTGTAGTGGTGCACACTGCCAAGCAAATTTGCAATTAATCAAACAACCAACTAAGTGATCCTGCATTTTATCCACCTGAGGCAACATTCTAAAAACTGAAGGTAATGTCTAAGAATGAAAACCTCCTTTCTGATAATATCTTTAACTTTGTGATAGCATGTCAGCTGTTCTGCTATCTCTGCGATCTCTGATAACAACATGTTCTATTCTGAGAATATTGGGAAGGGTTGACTTTGGAGGGAGTTGCATGTGTGTGTGCGTCTGTGTCTATCTGTGCTCCCTGTGGTCCTTCTATTGGTCTTCTGAGTGGGTGGTCTGTTCCAAGAGAGGAGCACTGGAAACATTATACCTACATACACGTGCACACAAACATACACACTGAAACACACATACACACACAAAGGGAAACTGGGAATCACACCAACGCAGCACAGCAGAGGGTGGAGCAGGCAGGAGCCTTCTTCCAGATGTGTGACATTAATTTAGTTGATCCAAAACATGAACCGGTAGCTCCCACTCACTCATCACCACAGTGTGTGTGAAACATTCATCCCAACGTTTTAATATTCACACACTCAGAAATACACCTGCAAGCCTACATTTCATTACATTTGGAAGAGAAGGAATCAAGATAAGAAAAGAACGAAGAGAGCGCCTGAAATAAAAGTTCTCTTGAGTTTAAGGTGGAGGAAAAAGACCGAGCAGGGAGGACTGAAGGGAGACGAGGTGCTTTATTAAAAAAGATGAGGAGCGGAGCAGGTTATGAGAACGGTCTCCACTCTGACCCATGGAGCAGCGCCCCTGGACTTTCATACAATACTTTCCACTGGGGAGGAGAGGGGGATATGGTGCATGGAAAGACAAAGAAAGAGAGAGAAATGAAATTAAATAAGAAGAGCGGAGGAGGAGAACGAGAGGAGATGTAGGAGGACGGAAGTGGTTGATTGGGTCTCCCCAGAGATTCTTTTGTTTAGATTGTTCTACATTTCACTTCTTTCACTCTCTCCCCTCCACCTCCCTCTTTTCTGACATCTGAGGTAGATTACAACAGAGACCCTGGGTCACATTTATGACTTAAATCAAGAACATATGGTGTGTGTGCGTGTTTGTACGTCCATTTCAATGCAGTGGGATTCCCCTCTGGTCCCCGAGTGGTGGTCAAATTTATTTTCTTGTCCATTGTCTCTCGCTGGGACATCAAAGGGCTATTGTTTGTTGATCAGCAAGGGTGCTACAGGTTACTTGCAGGTCCTGGACGAGTGCGCTTCGCTTCTCCTCCACATCTACCCTTCTTATATCCTTTCTCTAGAACTGAACTTTTAAGCATGTGGGATCGTCACAGAAAATGCCACACACAGGATCAGCACATCCACAGAAACCATGTTTATGTTTTAAAAGATTAGGTGTGGTTATGCATCATTTAGAGTCTGAAGAGGCATGTTTAATGTCCCACAGACACCTCACTATCTGCACAGCACAGCTTATACTTCTATATAAAATAAAAACAAAATATACCACAAACTTTGAACACTTCTGTACCTGAAAATTAGTCATTGTTAGCAGGTAAAAGAAAAAATGTCCCCATAAATTTCAGCACAAAAGCACATCTGTAAAAGTGTCAGTTGACTTTATTAGGATCGGCTTCACTGAGTTGAAGAAAAACAACTTTTGTCTTTGGAACGTTTACCTAGAAAGAAAACAAATCTACAAAATAATTTGCTGGAAGGACAATATATAAAACAATGGCATCAAAATATCTTTGACAAGAAAACAAAACCAAAAGAAAAAAAAAGGCTCAAATGTTTTTAGATGCAGGGCATTTTCTTCTTTTTGCCCTTTTGTTTACAAAATAATAACAAGAGGAGAAAAAAAACAATAGTTATTTACAGTGCATATATTTACATTAAGGCATTTTTGATGGGGAGACTGTTGATGTGATACAAACCCCCACTTCTACACAATCAAATAAATAGTCTGATTTACCATGATACATTACAGTGCTATATTATCTTTATGCTACCAGCAGTGAATGAACAAATACACTTATAGGCGCGGGCTAAATCACACCATCAAAATGGACATTCAAGTGTATATTAAAGGATAGGATCACAATTTTTAGTGCTCTCATGTGTATATGTACATTAAAAGAGATTTTTTGGTTGATGCACATGTTCCTCTTGTCTATACTGACTGTGATTCAGGGACTGTCAAACAAATCTAGGACATTATCCTATCTCTCATATTGTGTCACAACTTGGTCTCAGGCAAGCAACACAACCACTCCATATACTCTATAAGCAAACACTGAAGGTACTGGATTAAAAAAAATCAAATTAATCTAATAGCTGTCCTCTTTTCAAAACAACAACACTGTGTGTGTGTGTGTGTGCGCGCATGCACACGGCACTGCACGCAGTTACGTTAAATGTTAGCCTATGCATCTAATATCTATATAGATAATGTCATATATCTGGGTTGCATTGCAGCCAATACTTCTTAGTGAAATTCCGCATTACCGCTCAACAAGGACCAACAACACTGTCTGCTTAAGCACAAAGAGGGAATTCTACACTGATAAGACTAACTTTAGAAGATGCCCATATCACATTATATGGACAAGAGAAACACTTGCAGCGACCAATAACTCAATGCAATGCACATGTAGGCATGTGAGTATTGTTTTACAAGACTTAAAAACAAATAGGGACCTATCCTTTAACAAAATGGGTGTTCATGTTCGACTGACTGATAGAGCCCAATTGTAAGTTAGTTGTGTACAGAGTCAGAGAGTGAGACACCTCAGAGGAAGGACTGTAACAAACAAAACAAAAAAAGTTCCACATTATGTCAGGATGTCCGTGAAGTGGCCTGAGCCCAGCTGTTAAATTACAATGAGTGATGGGTAACCTTGTAATTTAAAAGAAATGTACCTTTCGTCCAAGCCAAGTCTAGAGATTCAACAGATTACGAAATAAAAACAGCACCATGTGTGTTTAAAAGGACTGTCTACATTGATCACAGCTCTGCTACCACAGAACAAACACACATAAGCCAGAGGAGGAGGCACTTAAGAAGGTGTTGACAAATGAAGATGATACTTTGGTTAAAACATTTTAAAGAAGTAAAATGCTGGATAAGATAGATGTAAGAAGACGCTTAATACAAGCTTGTGCATTAAAATACAGTCACTTCTGTATAAACTGAACGAATTCTAGTTTATGGTTCTAGGGTTCTGATACTTTCCTCTGGCTGGAAATCCACTGAATGACAACATGAATAATTCATCACCTAATTGCTGCTCTTTAGCAACCATCCACCTCCCTCTGCTTCTCAGTCGTCCCCAGATCTCCTCTCTCTAAAATCTCTCTACCCCTCCATCTCCATCCCTCCCCCATTTTTTTCCTCTGCACTATCTTCCCTCTCTCCAGAGTATAAATGCCTTCAATTTTTAATATCTCAACAGCAATGATTTGTGTGGCGTTCACACAGAGATTCAGTCCAGTAGTGATAATGATCAGTCCAGTGGTGAATGAGATGCATGGGACAAAAAGGCTTAGACTTAGATTACCAATTCTAGTGCAAACTGAAGGATTTGGTAACAAACAAAATCTAATCTGGAAATTCCAGTTTTATAAACAAACTACCAAACCAAGGAGTAAACAAATATTTGGCTTGACTTGTTTTGCAAACAAAAGCTTCTCCTTTATAAAAACAATTGTGAAGCCATTTTTTATGTTAGACAAAAGATGTACAAGTTCTGAGTGGTAAGTGCTTTCATTCCAGTCACACGAAAGAGTGCAAATGGGCTGGAGTCACATTTCTGAGCTACCATTTTCTTTTTTTTTGTTAATATTTTTCTTCTTTGTATTTGTCCACAGAAATCTATACCAAGTATATCTGAAGGTTAAGGGACCAGGAACTTCATCTGGTCATTATCTTTCTAATTTACAACCTCCAAACCTTTCCCTCTCTGGGTTTAAGAGCAACACATCTGTTAGGCTACCGTACTGTTTCTTTTAGGACACGGTAGCAGCAAAAGGAGGAGCTGCGGTGTCTGTGAAAGTCACTCTGCATCAGGCAGCTTGTAACATTGTACTTGTGTGTGATGGAGTGAGCGTTTCATGTGTGTCAAAGATAGTGCTTGTGTGTTTTTAGCGTGTGTGTGTGTGTGTGTGTGTGTGTGTGTGTGTGTACAAATGCTGTTAGTTCTGGTGTCTCTTCATGTGCAGGGCGAGGTGGTCGGATCGGGAAAAGGAGCGTGAGCAGACGGCGCACTGGAAGGGTTTGGCGCCCGTGTGCTTCCGGAAATGACGTGTCAGCTCATCCGAACGAGCAAAGCGCCAGTCGCAGCTGTCCCACGTACACCTGTACGGTTTCTCACCTGCGGGACGGGAGAAAAAAAAAGAGATAGTCTGAATGAGTGCAGCTTTCCACTAAAGAAACCGAGCTAATGGCAGAACTGAGCTGCATTTCTTGCTCAATAACATGCTCTCCAGCACTCTATGACTCTATCAAGAGATGTGTCAAAATGTGATAATAAGTACTCATTATACATTGATTAACATAAAAACAGACGCTAATTCCCTGAGTTACATGACTCAGTTGGGTGGAGGAACTGGGAAAACAGGCTTTACTAAAAAGTTGTCTAACACTACAGTCATAACGTCGTCATTCATCAAGCACCCAAGCTGCACAAGTTTCCCACGGGTGACTGGTCTGTTTTGCCTGTTTGTGCGTTTCTTTTAGATAGGTGTAGGTTGTTTCTCTGTCACTCTGCCATTCCAATAATCTTCGGATGCAGCCTCAGGCACTTGAAAAACTAGTGTGACCTGTCTACAGCTCCAGCACCATTATAGGTCTACAACTCAACCCTCCGCCCTGTGATCCACGGGCCCAAAGGTGGGCTTAAATGGTTTGTTCACCTATATTACAAAATAACAAATTTAGAAGCTGAAACAGCACATGGCTGGTATTGTTTCCACCTTATGAGTCTGAGTGTGTGCATCATCATAGCAAAATGTTGTCCTGGAGACACCTGCTATATAGAACTTCCACAGAGGAGGTTTTGAGTTCTTTGCCAGGGCTTTAATATGTCTGTCTGTAGACAGTATTTGTCAACACAACAGCACCTCAATCATGCAAGATGCAGTCACAAAACTTTGCAGGTGTGCAGAGATCAAATTGAAGGCTGACATGTTTATGGGCATCGCGGCTGGTGTGATCCCATTGCAAAATGGTCTCTAGTTTCTCTAGTGGTATCTATCCGTGCAGATTGTTTGGTTTTATTGGTTCTGGTTTTGAGAGGTCTGCCTCTGACATGTTTGCTAGCACCAAAATACAAAGGTGGCGGATGGAAAAAACAGAAATAGAAGTCTCGCTCTCACGAGAGGTGATTGTTGCAGGAAGATGACGGTGGAGTCAGTAAGTCATTGTATAAAAAGGTCTATTTCTGTAGGGATCATTTCCATAATGCTGTCAAACACTTAGAATAACTATTTGAGTCTACTGGGCCAATTCTAAAAAGTTTTTCTACCTATGAGTCATTAAGACCCAAAAATATGTTAAAATACAAAACAAAAAACAACAACAAAAACAAACAGGGCACAGGTTTAAAAATACTGGAACTGTCCTTCAAGTTGACACATATTTTTTGCTTTTCCATGTAACTGATTAACTATTGCCTTAAATAGGAGCCACAGCACTGTAAGAGCAAATTATAATGGAATCTCCTCCTCGTTGTTTTTAACATCTATTTCCGTATTAAATATTGATCAAAGACAGGGCTAGAAATGTGTAGACTATTTGTAAATTTCTCTGCAAATCTCTAATAATTCAACAGCAGTGTGTATTTCCAGAAACAATGTCCCCATTACTCTGGAAAGACCACAGATCACTATGAACAGTTTCCATTAGAATTACTTCTATCGAACAAATTGTTGACAGTGTGTTCTGTGCCTTGTTTAGCCCAATAAGGAAATGGGTCTGGAAAACACTGTTTTCAAAGCTCTATACACCTTTAACATAAGTCCATCCACCTCTATTAAATAGGGGTGGAAGCAGAAATATGCATGCTGGATACCACTTGTGGTAAGTAAGAATGTTGTTTTTTTGTGTGAACCAACCCTTTAAAAACAAGCACATCAAGCTCTGCAGCATTGCTAAAACAAACAGTTAAAAATGCAATTAACCAGAGCGTCACCAAACTTAGAAACACACGCCTGAACCTGAACACAATGAGGAGAGACAAGGAAAACTGAGAAGAATATTTTCAATATACACGCAAGCTCATGCACTCATCCACGCGCACACGCGCACACACACACACACACACACACACACACAATCAGGGTAATGGATGGTGATGGAGATTAGAGTGGGAACTCCCACAGGGACACAAACGCATTAGGAATCATCTCATACAGATTACTGACAGGTGTGTGTAGACGTGTGCGTGTAAGTGTGCATTCAAGCAGCTGAATAAGAGAAGTAGAACGAGTAACGACAAAGATAGAAGTGGGGGCGGGGGTTGAAGGTGGGAGGATGGCACAAAGCAGAGAAGAGGATGATTAGATGAATGAAAGCGGTAGAAAACAGGGGTTAAAATAACAAAGTAAGACTGACAAAGACAGAGAGGATATGGAAGTTGCTGCTACATCCCTCTTTTCGTGTCATGCTCTCATCTCGTAGTCTGTAATAACTGCAATAACCACACTTGCCTGCAGCAAGAATGACGCCAGATTTAATTGTGGCGTCATGTTCCCAATAATGAAATGCAAGGCACGCACACCCACAACGACGCTAAGTCAAATAGATTCTGGATTGCAAAAGTGTTAACCGTGAGTTTTGTTTGTGTGTGTTGTGTGTGTGTGTGTGTGTGTGTGTGAATCCAGATGAGTGAGGAATGCTTGGATATCAACAGAAGCTTTGTTTTGTTAGCTGGAGCGAGGTGGTGCCCAACACCTAAGTGCTTGTTTGTTGACTTTGCTCATGTAAAACTAATAGTTCAAATCTACATGTGAAAGGAGACAGATTGAAAGGATGAAGATAAATTAAAAAGGGAAAGTGAAGCAGAGATCTCAGCATCAAGATTATCTCAGATATTTTTGTATCTGCACACACAGATCTTGTATATATTTATAGTGGTGAATAAGTGCAAAAAGTTCCAGAAAAGCGTATTAAAGCCTTTAAACGTTGATGTCTGAACAGGCTCTGGGATCCTAAGAGAGATGGCACCATGCGTCTAGCACTGACCACATAGTCTGAGAGTCATCGCTCTGGCAGAAGTGTGTCACTTCCACCTGTTTTGATGGAATAGTATATTGGGCAGAGGATGGGAATGGGGTAGGATACATTTACACACACATGCCAGGAACACAACACTCTGCCTAGCAACATAGTGCCAGGGCAGATACCGAAATACGATTCTGGCGGGCAGCGTCACTTTTTGACGGGCCCCGTTTAAAAAAGTTGCATTAATGAGAGGAATGTCTTACCCGTGTGAGTCCTGAGGTGAGCTTTCAGATGGGACGACTTGGTGTAGACCTTCTTGCAGCCTGACGACAGACAGGGAGATAAACACAAACAGAAGGCTTCATCCAAATCCAAATAATTTCATGTGTCAGAATGCATTTACCCAATAAACCGAGCTGTGGTATGCTAGATATTTGTACTAATGAAGAACAGGAGCTATTTGGAATGAGATACAGTGAACATTTGATTTTGTTATTCTGTTTTTCAAAAAGCACATGCGACTGTGTTAAATAGCAGCCTTATTTGGTATTAACAAAGAAATTTATTGAACTGCATGCCACTAATCGCACAGAATTCTGCTTTGTTGAAAACTTCTCCTCATTACACCTGTTTGTTTGACGTCAAAGTTGAGATATTTTAAGTTCAGGGTTACAAAACCTTGTGCACATGATGTTACATGCAGTATGCGGATTACAATGTCTAAAAGGTCATTATGATAGTGAATGATTTATTAAGATATTCCTTACTCTTCCTCTCTTTAAATGAGGAAATGATAACATTTCATGTATTGCAAAGATTAAACAGTGAGCAGCTGCAGCAGTGTGACTAATATACACTTGGGTAAAGCGTGGATCTGTCCTTGTGTGGATATGATGGATCTGCTTCATCTGACTTTAAAGAACTTAGACATGTGCTAACATGCTGCAGGAGGCTCCGCTTAAGCCTATTTTACACGCTGCCAAAGGGTAGTTGATATTACATGTCCTACGAGTAGCTGCACATTGTACAGCTACAGTGTGTGTTTGTGTGCGTGCACACGAGAGCCAGTTTTTTTTTTTTTTCATGTTAATCTGCGTAAGCAATCAAAAGTGACTATATGCAAATGTTTGTGGGGAAAAAAGAGCTAAAGACTTAAGGAGAACATCTATGTAAGTAACACACTCACTCACACACACTTCATTCCACAATCATACCAGTGATGACTTTTAAGCCACAACAATGTGTGAGAGCTCACGGCTGAGAGTGCCCAAGCCGTTTGAGGTGCGATAATAAATGCTAAGTCGTTTTTAAACCAGACAGTTAATTAAAAGGCAGTGACTGATGGTCTCCTTTGCCAAAATATTTTAATTCCAGTGCAGCATGAGCTCTGCTGTGGCTGTAGTATATAACGTGACTCATAGGCCTGGGAGAGTCATTCAAAACACAACATATAATTTGTTAAAAATGCAAGGGTGTCTTAAAATGAAGCTGGTTTTCCTAAAGCTGACCTTCTGTGAGTGACCAGATGTTCACCTGACCATGATGTAAAAATAAACACTCACACACACACACACACAGTGACAAGAATCAGCATGCATCCACATTGGTGGACCTGTGTTGTTGTTCTAACCTGGGTAATCACAGTGGTGGATCCGTCGTTTCTCCAAGTCCGGGTTGTTCCTCCGGTTGTAGCGGGCAGGCACGGTGGTCTGAGCTGGGGTTGGGGCTGGGGCTGGGGTTGTTGCGGGGGCTTGTGGAAGGCCTGTATTTTGGCCTGGGACGGGCGAAGGGCCTGTAGTGAGGGGGAGGGCTAAGCTGCCTGATCCTGGGCCGGGCGCAAGTCCAGGGGTGCTACCTGCCAACTTGGAGGCGATGGTGGCTGCATATGAGGGAGGAGGGGACATGGTGTGGAGCAGCTCCTTCTGCCTGTCAGGGCTTCCGGGCTCTGAGCTCGGAGGAGAGGGTGGCAGGTAGGGCACCTGCTGCTGGAGGAAATGGGTGTGCGCCTGAGCATGAGGATGTGTATATGCCCCGCCGCCCAGGCCGCAGTAGGCAGGCTTGGCAGTCTGCTCTTGTTGAGATGCAGAAGAAGCTACCGGCAAATCATGGAAAGGCGTGTGGATTGTGGAAGTGTGTTGTATCTGCTGCTGCTGCTGCTGCTGCTGCTGCTGATGATGATGATGATGCTGCTGCTGCTGAGCCTCCATACCATTGCCATGGAGATGGTCCAAGCCGGAGTTTAGTAGTTGAAACAGCGAGCCACTGTTGTCATGGTGGTGGAGAGCATGTTGCTCGAACTGAGATGACATTTCCTGTTTCACAAACACTCCTGGTACTGAATCGCCACCGCTGCCGCCTCCCGACTGGTTGAACACACTGGTGAAGTCTGGTAACCCCGTTAACGTCATGTTTATGGCTGAGGCTTCCATGGCAATACTGCCGGGGCCATGCCCAGATGTGCTGCAGCTACCAGCAGACGTGGAGTTGGGGCAGTGCAGCTGTAGGTTGGGGGAGAAACACGCGGGGGCAGATTCTGTTTTGATTTGGGTGAGACCTGTGTGGTTCTGGTGCTGAGGGGGCCGCGCCTGCTGACACAAGCCCATCCTCAGGTAGGCGGCGTCATGGAGGTAAAGATTCATGTTGAGGGTGTAGGGAGCCCCGGCGTGATCGTCAGTGAAGAAGTGATCCGCTGCAGATGCACTGTCTCTCTGTGACTTCTGCTGGCTGTCTGCAGGAGGTGGAAGGGGAAGAGACTGAGGGGAGAGATACCTGTCCATCTCAAACTTTGCCTGTTGACAAAAAAAGACAAACACAAATCTGGTTCAGAAACATCTCCTTTCTTATTAAGTAAACTCTGGTCAAATGAAAATGTGCCCAGCTCTGACTTCAGCAAGTGCTTCTCATGAGTCACCATGAAACTATTTTGAGGTGCTATTTTCAGAAGACAAAAGGTTCGATAGGACAGTCACCGCTAAAACATTTATCAAGTAGTCATCAATAGGCAGTTGCCACATTCCCTCTCTGCCTGCAAGGCTGAACTCAAAAACCCACCAGCTGTGAGACCAACAGTTGAGGATCAGGCCATGCTCAGGTGGAAATACAGAATCAGATCTTATACCCTTCATATAAAACATTAGGATATTTTCAGACTTTCAGTTACTATAATTGTCTAAAGGAGCAGTCTATCACTGATCAAACTGGCACCACAAGTGACCAACTTTATGCCAAACAATGCCTCATGCATATTGTGCTTTGTGGTCTAATTCCTGTGAATCTGAAGGAAAAGTTAGAGGAGCTCTGCAGCAGAGGATGAAACAGCAACATGAAAGGGAATGGGGAAACACCCATGCCTCCCTGTCCGCTGCAGCAGCAGCAGCAGCAGAAGCAGTAGTCTGGGGATGGGCTGCTATTTCTAGGCTCCTGATCCCCACCAGCTGTTATACAACTCTTTCCTCTGCTGCACAAGTTTCCTTCTAACTGAGGGACAGAGTTGCCGGGACCTTTCTGTCCGAAGCTGGAGTCAGTTGTTGTCAGCGCGGTATGATGGGGACGCCAAGAAGAGACCAACAACTGGTGACCAACTGGCTGGCATAGAAAACATGCGGTGAATGCGTTTGCGGGCGGAGCGGCTTGGCTTCACGTCCAGCTGGTCGTAGCCTGCTCGCTTATTACCGCTAATAGTGCACAACAAACTGATGATCGGAGCAATGCCGATTATTTAAATTTGGAGTCCAGCAAAAAAACAACAACACAGACACAAAAAACAACAACCTGGGTCTACAGCCAATCTGCCACGCCCATTCAATGAAATACATCACTAATGTGTAAAGTCGCCTTGATTTCTGTCCGGTTTACCTGAGTGTAGTCGTTTTGCCCAGTCTTGTCTGCATCTGTGATCTTGCAATCCAAGCCGAACAACGCCGACTCCTCCAGAGAGAATCCAGCGGGCAGGGTCGCCTTCTGCAGCGGATAGAAGGGATCCTCCTGCCCGCCGCCGCTCATCGTGAGTGCCGCGGCCATGAAGCTCCCGATGCAGCACCGCAAAGGACGTTCGCCCTGTTACGCTAAAAGGAGGATGCTACGGCGGACTGGGAAAAGGAGCAGAGCCGACGAGGTGTAGTGCGCGTGGTGGAGTTATAAATGCGTGCCAGTCTGCTACATCTCCTTCCACTTGTTTCATCCCTCCACCGGCCCACAGACAGTTTTCTATCTCCTGTCGTAGGGCGGAGCGGCCCAGTGTAAATACAGCACATGCACCGCCCACCAAACCTTTAAAAAGGCTTTGATCATTCATTCACTGGCCACCGCCCTACGCTCCATCTAAATACATTAACAGTGTCGTAAAGTGTACACAGAACCAGCCAGACCACATCGACATCCATAAAGGTAGTGAAGGTTAGACTCACCTTTCTTTCCCCTTTTTTCTTTTTTAACCAGCCTTTTTATTCATTTGCTCCAGTGTTTAAGCTTACATCAAAATATATTAAAACATATTCAATAACAAATAAAATTAAAATTAAATTCTAAAAAATTTTATATTTGCCACAATGCCCTTGCATATGTAAATACCTCCTTGTCTACTGTAAACCCTTAAAGGCATATTCCAGAGATTTCCTCACTTTCATTAAATTGGGGGTGACAAACGAGCCACATTAAAACAAGAATTTGCAAAATCAAAGCACCAGAAGCAAGATATCCTGATTTTTTAAATTGCTAATGTGGCTCAAGATCCAAAAACACTTACTCCTACAGTTCCCATAATGCAAGCAAGAATGATTATATTATTGTGTGTATATTCATGAAGATGATTAGTATTATTCAACAAAGGTTAGGTAATACCTTTAGTGACAAGTAAACTGAACTTCATATGCAAAATTGGTGGTGTGCCACTTTAATATGTGATAGTAAGGGATTTAAAATCATTTAAGTTAACATTATGACATGGCACTATGAAGTCTTGTCAAGTCAATATTATTTATTGTATTACACTGCACACAAAATCACATTGTATCATACAGTATTATGGAAAATACTTTGTGCTGTGGCAAATGAGAAATATTAGGGGCCTGAAAATATCTGACAACACTGAAAGCTGTAGCTATTTCATTTAACAGGTAAAGAAGGTGGTGTGTTGTGAGGTACTGTAAGTTCACTTAGAAAACGCATTAGAGAGGGAAAAAAACGGATGAAAGGGCCAAACCAGCTTTAAGCAGTCCTTTGGCAGAGTTTAATATGACACCGATAAGAACATGGTCTGAAATGATAAAGGTATGCCTACTATGTCTATATTTAAAGCCAAAGGACTGGGCTCGTGCAAATAAGAGGCTACAGTTCCTGCAATGCTGTTTGTCTGTAGCCACCAGTATCTGCAAACCTGGAAAAGATGAGGAAATAATGATAGACAGACCTAATAAAAGAGACCACTGCCAAGAATGAGGAATTTTTGGGCAGTCAGTTAGCTAAGAATGTGTACCCAGTGGAAGGTAATTCCTCTGGTTCTGGACCAGTATAAGGGAATTTATCCTCTCTGAACAATATGTAACCAAGTATGAGAACAACAAACCACTCGCACACCAGTTTCAGTTTCTGCTTTTGTATTTCAAAAGTCATTGAAATTTCAAAAGAAGTGTAATTTACAAGTCTAAACACTAAGTGTTAAAACCCTGAGTGACAATATTAATAGCATCAGTAGTAACACAAACTACTCATCAACACGACTGTTCATTTAGGTTTCTGCTTCAACTTTTGGTGCCAATCAGGAACTTCTTTATTGGTCTGCAAAGAAAAGAGACAGAGAGAAAAATGATTAGAAGAAGTATGAAGAGCCTGACAGGAGGACCCCCTGTTTGGATTCTTAAGATATTCTCACCTCTAAGACTTTCTCATGAATCAAGGATACAGACTACAGCATACGCTTAGCCGACTGCAGTGAAAAGCTCAGATGAAACTAAATTACAAAAAGCAATTCATCATTTCCAGTCAACCTGTAATTCTCCTTTGTCTGAACTTCAGTCCAGGCAGGTTAATGCTGGTGACTCACACAAGGGTGTTGCGAAGAAACTTACAAACACAGTTGGTTTGGGTTTGTTTGGCGACTCTTCTTCTGTGGTCCTGTTGATTCGTTTGGACTGGTGTTTTCCTGCACCAGAGGTCGTGATTCCAGTTTTATCAGCTTCCAACAGGTTTAGAGTGTCTCCCTGTCTGGACTGCATGCTGATGAGGACCTGCTTCATCACTGCTAACTCCTGGAGAATTGTTCATAAAAATAGGGATGTGGGGGAGAAAAGGGTAAAATAATAAACAGGGAGTGTAGTGTCCAAAAAAATCAGAAATGTCAACTAAATCACCAGGTTATTTTTGACAGAAATTCGGGGATGTATAAATGTACAATATCTTATAATACTTCAATAACATTCTGTGACACATTTGCTTTAAAATGTATGTTTTCAAGAATTTTTATTCCCGCTTTCTGATGACATGTTTTTCCTGAAACACAGGCCAACACAGCTGAAGTCCTCAAGTCCAACTATGGGACTACTTGCAATAAGCTCAACAAGCTCAAGGGTCTGCGGGGGTGGCAGCAAGGCAGCGGGGAGGACTCTGGGCCATTTCACGGTTCTATTTATCACCCCTGAGGACATGAGCCCTGGCATGTCACACACACGCACAAGCACACACATATACACACACACACGCACAAGCACACACATATACACACAAACACACGCACACCCTGGTGGCATCCCAAACAGCCAAGTTGAGGAACAGCTGTCTATGACAGGGCACATACTTCATACAGCAAACGGATGGCTTGGGTGGACACACTCATGCACACACGCACATACGAGCATCTTGAAGGAAGCGTTGCAACACCATGCAATAACTTTTCTGGTGTGACTATCAAAAGCCTGTATAAGAAGTAGAGCTACAACTGTTAGTCGATTTATCGATTAGTTGATCAACAGAAAATGAATCAACAACTATTTTAATAATCAATCAATAGTGTCATTTTTCAAGAAAAAAAACATTTAATGGTTCCAAGTTCTCAAATGTGAGGATAAGTAGCTTTTCATTGTCTGTAATTAAATATTTTAAGTTTTGTTGATTTGATGACATCACTGTGAGCTCAAGGAAATTGTGATGTTTTATATACAAAACAGTGTATTGAAAAATTCATTAATGATGATAAAAAAAATTCTTCATGAAAAGTTCATGTTTGCTACAGTTTTCAGAAGAGGCATAATTTCTGAATTTGTCTGTTTCTACAGAACACAGGTTAACACCCAGGTTGGCAGATGCAGCATGAATGGCAGCACTCCATGTCAAACACAGACAATGGCCATGTGCAGCAACATGGTGGTTTTACTAATAAATCTTCAGTTATTAGCCAAAACAAGACATTTCCTGTTTCTCACCATTTTGAAACAGCCCAATACACTGGGATGGAATGGGAGACTTCATAACATCACAGGGAAAACATCAAATATCTAACTACTGACATCCAACAGTGAACATAATCATCGTGTGTACCTCTCGATGGTTGAGAAGTCTCTCCAGATCGGCGGCCATGTTGTTTTTCACCTGTTGCAGAGCAGTCCGCTCTTTCCTCAGAGAACTGGGGTTACGCCCAAAAACAGGCAGAGAGATCAGAGCTTGAGATAAGCATTACTATTTTTAGTAATATAGTTATGAACTCAATATTCAATATTCTAATTGCTTATGGGGTCATGTGAAACAGCCAAACAATAAATTAAACACATGAGTCATGAATTTCTAAAAAAAAAACCAAAATAAATAATCATTTGCTTTTTTACAAGTTAGGCTTATATCTTGTGAGAAAAGCTCCTGCTCTCTACAGTACTGTCCAAGTGTTGTTTCCTGGGGCTGTGAAACATACATGCAGGAGCTTGTAATGGGGGTGCTTTAAAGGCAAATCATCTTGCAAATCTTGAAACAACAGCTTGGTACCTTTATGTGTTCACTGAGAACTATGGAATAGAAATTTAAACTTGTGGGTCTTATAGTCTTTGGTCTGCCCCTGCTTAGATACTGTTATTAGCCAATTTGAGTACATAAATCTTCTGTGAGCCTCTGCTTTTAAACAGGTAGCACTGTATAGCCACAGGAAAAATTCAATATGTCTGTCAGATGGGGAGGTTTGAAAAGCCCCAGGTGAGCGCTCAATGTGCGTGAGCAGCAAGAGAAAACCTGCAGTCTGTCAATTTGCATATTTTACAAGGGGGACAAGGGGGATGTAGGTCAGCGCCAGGTAGCTTTAGGTGTGCTGATGGTACACACTCAGTCATTGGGCATAGACAAACTCATGCACACATGCAGGTTTGCACAAAGACAGAATGAGCTAGGTGTGAGAGGGACAGAGGAAGACAAAAGGAAATAAAGCAAAGACACCCAAGGGCGGGGAGGTATGGTCTGCTGCCATGATGTAAATTACAAGGTACAAAATGTACCAAATGAAATCAACACAGAAAGTTTGGCAAGTGATACAGAAGTCCTAACTGCCTTCAATGAAGAAATATGGTCATGTATGTCGATTTTCTGTTTAAGTTCAGTTCCTTCTTTGTGGACATACCTGACATCGTCCTCAAGTGAGGTGAGACGCTCCTTCAGCGTGCTGATCTGTGCATCCCTTTGTCTCACTGTCTCAATCAGGTAGCTATAGGGCTGCTGTGTCTGCTGTAACAGCTGGTTGGCTGCCAACAGCTGAGGAACAACACATAGATGTGCATAGTTGAGCAATTATAGGAAAAATCAGCAAGCAGTCATAATCTCAGAGTCTCAAATACCAATGCTTTGAGAAAGCCTGATAAAGCGTCGGTATTTGACGCACGCCCTAACCAAGTAGTTTGGTGCCTTAATCTAACCAAACCACGATCTTTCCCTAAACCTAACGGCGTTCCATATGGACGCTGAAGTGTACCTTTTGTGTGTCAAATACAGACACTTTGTCAGGCTTTCTCAAAGTGTCAGTATTTGATGCCCTGGGATTAACATGTGTTGAAATAATTACTGTATCTACACAAATTTGTGAAAGTGTGAAATGTAAAGACGCTTTTAGCCGGATTGTGAAGCACTGCAGCAAGGTTATAGGAATCAGACAGTCAGGTCTGCCCGAATTATTCAAGAGACAAGCCCTGCAGAAAGCCCATTACCTCCTTCTTGATGTCGATCACCTACTAAAGACAGAGTTCCAGTCTCTACCCTC